TGTCTAGGGACTTAATGCAAGACAATTGTCTCTGTGGACGTCAAGATAAAACACATGAGTAACCCCAAAGCCTAATACGATTGGGCCTCATTAATGTTTCTTTGCTGATAAGCCTCAAGAGATATTAGTCATGAATTGCTAATCTGAAACATGTGTAAACAGCAGTTATCTCTCTTATACTATTAAGCATGCTGCATTTTAAAACTGAGAATATATTTTTTAAAGTCATCCCTTCAGGAATTCAAAAGGTGCTTCAGAACTTAATCCAGAGCTGAAAATTTGAAGATGAATTTATACAATGATTTCACTCTCAAGTGATAGATAATTCAAGCCCCTGCAGATGAGTGAGTAATTTTCTAGCAATTTGTTTCTCAAATACCTCTCATTTTAGCCATTTTTAGCTTTGTCACTAACAGGTGTCAGGAGAAGAACACAGCCTGACTTTATAATTTGGAGTAGTGAGGAAACCCTTTACCTCTGAAGACCTTGCCTAGTAGCCTGGCATCAGAATTGGCTTTCTGATTTTTAGAGCTCATTCAACCTTAGCCAGAGCTTTGGAAAGGACTAAGTTGGAACTGTAAGGTATATTAGTGAGAAATGAAACATCATATTTTTGACTGAGAATTCAGTTTGAATGCTGACTAGATAATTCAAAGTAGGATACTCTTCATTATCTCAGCTTTTCCTAATGAATCACTTGGGTCTTGTAACTTCCTAAGTAAATAAATCTTAAAAGAAATAGTCATTAGTAGTATATTTTTAGGAATTAAAAGACAATTCTATCTTATATTTTGAAAGAAAATTTTTTTTTAGAGATAAACATATCTCTGTTGTCTTTTGATTACTTTTATAAGATTAAAAACACATTTCTGATTCATAATTTTGGTAGTTTCAATGGCCTCTAGATGTACCATTAAATGGTGAATATTTTTGTTACACTTGGAGACTTTTGAAATCTTACAAATGTTCAGTGAGTTTTATAAAAACAACTTATTAAATGAAACTCTTAAAAAACGTTTAAGTCGAGAAGATATGGTAAAATGTTAAACAAAGTTTCAAATAATAAAATTTCTGGTTACCAGTAGCATTCAAATATGAGTAGGCATTTTTGTGGAAAAGAAAGCACATCACAAGACCATATTCTAGGTCAACATGGGTTGTCCTAGTGTTAGTATATGTAATTCTTCATCTGCTTCTATAATGCACAGAGACGAACACAGAAGTTTGAGGAGATGAACCTGGAGCCCATGTCAGCATTTTGTGCTTCCTAAAGTGGAAAAGTAGATTTAGCAATAAAGTTACTCTAAGTCTCAGATCCATCTTCTGTAAAATGGTTAGTTGTATAGATAAAATGAATAATGCAAGGGAAAAATGTTGCACTGAGTTACCATTAAGTTATTGTCATCTGTTTTTTTTTTTTTTTGCATTGTTCTTGTTCTTGTCGTATTTATAACTCAGTCAAAAAACAGACTAACCAGACCACATTATTACAGTAGCATTATGCATATTGAGATCTTGAGAGTATGGTTTCTGATTTAAAGAAAAGTGTTCTTCCAGGACCCTATGAAATAATCATACTCATAACATCATCAACCTAATTTTTAATTACTCAATTGTTAATTATTCACGTGCTAATTACTCCTTAAGCATTTCTCTTTTTATTATATTTTATTTTATAAAAGTGTTACTTAAATCCTTACTGCTTCTTGATAGTATATCAATTCTACAAAGGCATATATACTGATTGTTTTCCTTTTTTACAACTTAAAGTATGTAATTTCTAAACTTGTTTCTATTTATTGATTCTTTTTATTCCTCTTATTGTTCGTGCATATATATACATATTTTTTTATTGGATGGCAGACATTGTGAATTTTTTCTTGTTGGGTATTGAATCTTTTTGAGCTTTGTTATGTGACATATCTAAGTTATGTGGAAATAATTTGATTCTTTCCAAGTTTGATTTTAAGTTTCATAAGGTGTAAGGACCAGACAACCTTAATGTAGGGCTAATTTGGCCTCAATATGAAGGGATGTCCTTCTGAGTACTATCTGATGTTCCATGAATTATGAAGGTTTCTCCTCTGGCTGGTTGAAAATGTGGATTACTCCCAGACCTGTGTAAGCTTTGCGGATTATAACTTCTGTTCCTTTTGCAATGTTTGTTTTCCATTTTCAGCTTTCCTCATATGCACACCTTATTCAGTACTCAGCTGAAGACTGGAGAATACTCTGCAAATCTCTAGAGCATTCTTCCTTTGCAGCTACCTCCTGCCCAGTAGTTTGCATTTTGAACTGATCCACGTTGTTCATCCTGGACTCCCAACTCTGTATCTTCAAGCCAGGGAGACTCCCAGGCTCCCTGTGTTTGGGGGTTTAGAAACTTTCTCCAGAAAGTAAGGTTGGGCAATCATTGGGGCTAACCTCATGTTTTTGCCACTCTTAGAAATCAATGTCCTGCATTAACTGGTGTTCAATATCCGAAAACTGTCATTTCTTTTATTATGTCTGCTTTTTTTTTTAAGTTATTTTATGTAAATCTAGTCCCTGTTACTTTACCTTTGCCAGAAGCAGAAGTCTGCCAACATTCGTATATATATTTATGTTGTTTCTATCTTGTGAACTGCTGCTACCTATTTTGCTCCCAGAAACACTAGTGTAAAAGCTAGAAATATGTTTCCTTGTAAACAAACAAACAAACAAAACTCCAAAACCAAAAACCCAGAAAACACTCTTAACAGTGGCTTAAACACATAGAATTTTATTGTTCTAATATAAAAATCCATCTGAAGACAGGTAGCCATCAGCTAAAGCAGCTATTGAGCAAT